AGAATTCTTCTATTTCATCTTCACTGGCTTTAGTGGTTGGTGCATAGATTTGAATAATAGTGGTATTAACTGGGCTTCCCTGTAGGTGCATGGATATTATCCTATCACTTATAGCATTGTACCTCAGGACTGATCTGGATATGTTCTTTTTGACAATGAACACAACACCATTCCTCTTCAATTTGTCATTCTCTGCATAGTAAACCATGTGGTTGTCAGATTCAGAATGGCCAATGCCAGTCCATTTCAGCTATGCCTAAGATATCAATGTTCATGCGTTCCATTTCATTTTTGACCACTTCCAATTTTCCCAGATTCATACTTCGTACATTCCATGTTCTGATTTTCAATGGATATTTACAGCTGTTTCTCTTCATTTTGATTTGTGGCCCATTAGCAAATGAAGGTTCTGTGAGCTTTTCTCTACTTGGAGGAGGCATTTTTTTCCCCAGTCACATTCTGAGTGCCTTCCCACTTTCCAGTCCTATATCTGACAATGTTTCTCTGCTATTCATAGAGTTTTCAGTGACTAGCTGTAGAGTGGACGGCAAACCCTAGTTCAGATCTGTGCTCAGGTCCTAACGGTCTTTCATGATATGAACGAGAGAACTTGGTACCCCAGCAGTTCTCTGAAATAGCCCTTATATTTGAAAAAGCTCATAATAAAATGCCCAGTTTTGATTACTAAATCCGCTGGTGAATCACACACCCCAAATAATCACACATTTGCCAAATCAAGGATTACTTTCTAACCAAGACATCTCTTGGAAAACAAGCCATTGATTTACAAAAGGCTCAGGCCCTGTAAGCTCAGAGCTCCACATCCCATGTTCTTCAAGGATCATCTCACTCATACCTGAGGGACACACACCCATCAGAGCCCACCAGGAGTTGCTCACAAAGAGCATTTTCTGGGGAGCATTTGCAATCCCTGTCCTGACGCCGGTCTTCCTGTACACCTCAGTACTCTAAGAAGCAAGTGCGCTCTCGACTACTGGCGTCATCGGCTCAGAACTCCCGTCAGTCCTTCAGAGCAAGGAGGGGCCCAAGGGGGAGCCAACACAGGGTGGTCTGCAGCCCTGCCAGTCAGACATGGGTGACCCAGGATGGGAGAAGGGCTGAGAACAGCCCCCGCCCGCACGGATGCTGCTGTGCTCTACGTGCTCTTCATGGAGACTTGGTCGACAGACAGAAATCTGAGGGGTTTATGGGCAATTTAAATCTCAACCAAAAATGGCCAAAAAGGCAACCACTGATTGGCCTACATGTGTTCCGTTGAGGCAAACACTCCCACTTCTCTCCAGCCCTAAAGTCGTGACACACACATATGTGTCAGTACAATATACATACACATGTGCATGTGAATTGTTCACCCCAAGACCTGGTAACCATGTCACATGCAGACATGCCGACTTACCTGTTTGCGTGACCGCATGGCAGCTTCCTCCAGCGTCTCCGCGGCTTCAAACTTGCCCTGGCGTCTGTAGAGTGCACCGAGGTTTTTCAAAGTCGTGGTGACGGTTGGACTAGAAGAAGCACATCACAAAGAAGTCTTCATGAAACCTGAGTTGTGGACTCCCCGACCAGAAGTACGTAGTCTCAGGACTAGCTGACTGGGGTTTCCACTTGACTTCTGGGGCCATTTTTGAACTGTAAAATCTAAAAGGCTCTTTCATCTAGAAAGAAATATTGTTAACTGATGAAACATGGAGAAAAATATAATCACTATAATGAAACACAGCATATGATTGGTTGGATGTGAAGCTGATGATCTGCCCTGTAAACTTTCACTCAATGCACAATAAAAACTTGAAAAAGTAAAGTCTCTTTCATCTTAGGCACCTGCAGGTACTGAGCACAGGTACATAGTTGTCCTTCATGATGACTAAAATATACGGTGTGGCATGCGTCCCTGGTCACCCCTCCTGAAGACCTGTCTGGTGACCCTGTACTGCCCACCAGAGGCAGCAGGTCCTGGGTCAGGCAGTACTGAGACAACGGATCCGCCACGTCGCCTAGAGTCTAGCAGAACTGACACTCAGCGGAGCTCGAGGTAGAGAAAGGGCACATCCCATCCGAGGACGCAGGCCAGACTGCAGGGCAGGTGAGCAGCGAAGGCATGCAGGAGAGGGCAGCCTGACCAGACCACCTGCAGCCAAGGCAGAGGCCTGACCCGCATCTGGATTCTGACCTTCTGTTTAGCCTGTTCTCTGGATTTTTGAGAAACTGAACTAGCTAGTTCAGTGCAATGAACACACAAAAATGAAATGTGTATCATCACATCTTGGACTTCAGGAAAAGCACGTTTTAAATCCAAGAATCAGGTCTGTTCCACAGATCCTAGGGCAAAAGGAGGAAGGATGAAGCAGACGCACAGCTAAAGCCCTTCAGGATACAGGAAGACTTGTTCTAGAAATAAACATTGGCTTCTTTAGAAGAGATGTGTCCTTTGAAAGGCCTTTCCCTATGCCTGATCATCGGTACTTCAGTACAGAACTAACGATGCACAAAGTCTCTGAACATGATGGCAATGTGACCGGACCCAGGAGAACATGTTCCGAGACGCTTCCTGGAACAGAAGGCAGTTTGCTGAGGCTCACAGGGCAATCAGGCAGCCTCAGGATCAGGGGTGAAACAGTGCGTGGACAGTGGCAGGACCCGGGGGCTGACACAGAGAAGTGTGTGTGCTGGTGCCTCCAGCGGTCCGGAGAGAAGTGAGGCTGACACGTCTACCTGGAATCTCCCGGGAATTGGCCACACCCACTGCCACCTTGTAGGACTGAGCTGAACTGCCCCACAGGGTTTCCAAAGGTTGTCAGTCTTTCCTGCCTCATCTTTCTCCTGTGGAGCGGCTGACGGGTTCACACTGCCCACTTTTCAGTTACCAGCACAGCCAGTGCTTTACCAGTGCGCCACCAAGAGCCTGAAGCTGCTTCTCTTCTCCCATTTACACAGGTGCCCGTGTTCACCCGCCGCCAGGACCTGAATGGACAGCCTTCCCCTGCACGGGAGCACTAGCCACGTGCACGGTCTCCTCTGCAAGGTTAGTTCTGACTGGTGTCTCTCAATGGAGAGAGACCAAAGCACATGCAGCCAGATGCCATGTGGAGCGTCCCACGGTTCCCGATACACACGTGTCCGTACCTGTCAACTTTGCAGGCTTTGTACCAGCCGCCGTACTCGCCAAAAGATGACCCGTCCCTCTGCTTTCCCTAAATGAAAACAAACCATTTCAAAGACATAATTATTTGGAATGCAATTTGCCCAATTTGAGAAGTCTCTCAAAACAGTGCATTCTTACTTTGCATTCTTCTCGTTCTTCAGCATGCATCCAAATGGGTTTGTTTTCATCTGAGGAAGGAAGAAAACACACTTCAGACACATACGTGCAGCAGAACCCAGCGAGGAGGGCAGAGGTCACCAAGTCCAGAGGCTCCAAGAGGATTCTGCTCAGTGCTGTGTGAGGCCTCTAGTGACCTCTCACCTAGAGAGCTGGCGTCTGCGCTGAGGAGACAGACCCTGGGACACAGAGCAGGACAGACGAGGCCACACAAGGCTGCCCACCACCATGGGACGCGGAAGCACACATCCCCCCCCCCGCCAAGGGAGCAGCAGCAGCTCAGACCTGACAGGACGTGAGCATGCTACATGTGTGGCAATACAAGTGTGCAACCACATTACATACGTGACCATACTGCACATGTCACTGCAGTGCAGTAATACACGTTTATGCTACATGTGTGGCTACATGACACATGTGGTTATATGTATCATCCATGGTTACTACACACATGGCTGCACTACCTGTGACTACGTGGTATAGTATGCGGCCACAGTAAATGTATGACAGCATTACACGGGTGACCTTACCGTATGCACAGCCACAGGACCTAACATGGCTGAATGACCACACTGCGGATGTGAACGCACAAGGTATGTGGCCATCAACGTGTGGCTATGCACATAGTACATGGCTACAGTACACGCATGATCACACACAGTACACACGTGGCCACACATTCAGTACGGGACCCCACTACAAACATGACCACACATTAATTACCTGGCCATACAACATATGTGACTGCACAGATAGAAATATGGCCGCACAATATACGTGACTGCACAACATACGTGACCACGCTGCACGTGTGACCAGAGCACATGTCCATGCTATATACATACATAGCTGCACATACAGTAGAGGACTACACTACATGTGTGGTGCCACTGAGCACGACTATATGACATATATGGCCACGTGGCATGTGGTTATACCCACACATGAATGCAGTGCAGTTGTGCGCACACAGTACATGTATGTACTACATGTGTGGTTGTGATGCATATATGATCATGCTAAACATGTGGCTGCACTACATACATGACCACACTGCTTATTTGACCGCCCTGGGTCTAAGTTAACAGGCATAGCAGAAACATCAGCATCTGTCTAGGCAGCAATGGGACTGCAGTGGTGTCCCTACAATGAGGGTCTACCACAGGCTCTGCGGGGAGATGCTGTAGGTTCCAATCCCATCACCACCATCAGCTGTGAAATCACGGCACACTACCCAGCCTGCTGGTCTGCAGTGTTGATGGCCAAGCCACTCCACAGAACTGTTAACAACCAAATGATGCAGCGTGTTTAACTTAACAGCTCAACTTCAGAGACCGGAACATGAGTAAGTCCTCCAACATGGTGATGCGGTATGTATGCCAAGTACGGGAGTCCCAGAGAACAGTGCTGACGCGCTACGTGAGGCAGGTTCCCTCCAGTTCCTGAAGCTGGCTGGCTTCCTGCACAACTCAAGAAGCTGCTAGTAACTAGGACCCAGCTGAGTGGACTTTGGGCCACAAGGAAACAGGTCTTGGCCCGGAGCATCAGTATTGAGAAGCAGCGTTCAGGGGATGACCTGGAATGGTTACAAGCTGACCGCCCGGCCACACACCATACAACATATGTGACATGACCACACACAGTACCGCTCTCCTGCCTGCATGCCGGCTGACACCCGCTGGAAAGGCCGAGTTATTCAGAGGCCCCGAAGCCCTGCCTCCATAACTGCTGCTTACCACTGGGAGGACTCAAGAGGAGGCATGGTCTCGGCTCCACACACCAACTCGCACAGTATTAATGCGGGGAAAGCAGCGTGGAGCAGGGTGGCCAGCTAACGGGGGCCAGAGGCAGCTCTCTCATGGGTGGGGCACCTGAGGAGCCAGGGAGTGGGAGTGATAACGTGCACTACGCCACTTTGAGAAAATTGCTCCTAAGTGACAAATTCAATTCTCCCTTAAAAACAAGAGTGTTGGCTCGACTCCCGATGAGTTCAGGCTGGAAGCCCCCCTTTCACCGCATACAGAGGTCTCCGTGCTAACCTACAGGAAGGGGGTGAGTACTCACCGTCTACAGAGCCAAACTCCCGTTCGTGGGCACGAGTGAGAATCTCTTTGTAGAGCGTTTCAGCTTGCTTGAATTTGCCTTGCTTCAGGTAGCAGGATGCCTTAAAATAAAGCGCATGTCAGTACCTTCATACAAAAGGACGCAGACATGGTTACCCACAGGGTCAGTTAGGATCTGATTTCATAACTGAAGAGCACAGTGTCTGTCGCGAGCATACCAGGTTGTTCTTGGTCTTGGCTACGTTGGGGTCATCGGGCCCCAGCCTCGTCTGGTAGATGTCCAGAGCCCGCTGGTAGTATTGCTCCACCTCCTCATACTTGCCCTGGTTCTGACACAGCAGAGCCAGGTTATTCAACTGCTTGGCAACATCAGGGTGGTCCTTGCCCAGAACCTAAGAAGAAAACAGCACCTCAGAAACATCGTGTGTTCCACTGCCACGGATTCAGGCCCCATGGAGAGAGGAGCTCTCTGAGACACAATGTTCCGCTGCTGTTACACCCCAGCCTTTACAGGCCCCGCCACTGAGGAGTCCACGGAGGGGTCAGCCTTCACAGCCCCCGCCACTGAGGAGTCC